AGTGCTCTCCAATTACTGTTTCTGTGTTGTGAAAGGCCTGAAACAAAGCTTTACAGACTGGTTTTGATTAGCTGAAAATGATAAATAGAGAGTGAGCTGGGATTGAGGACAGGATCTGTCCATCCTACCTGTCTAAGCCAGAGGCAATAAAATAATTGGTTTTAAGTTTCTCTACATTAGGTAAGTTTCTGTAAGGACCCTCTGTCTAGCACAGAATAGTCTGTGAATTTTGTTGTAAGCCACAACTCAGTCCTTTGTTCCATTCTCTCTCTGTATTCCCTTCCTTCATGATCTCAGCTGGACTCATGGCTTTCAGTATCATCAACTATTTCCAATTTAATATTTTTAAGCCAGTCAGCCCCAAACAGTACAGATCTCTCTCCACTAAACTCCAACTGTCTTTTCAACATCTCCTCTAAGACGTCTAAAAGATATCTCAAACATAACATACCAAATCCAAACTGATCTTCCTCCTGAAGTCTCCCTCATATCAATTGATGACAACCTGATCTTAACCTAAGGTCAAAAAATTTTTAAGTCAATTTTAGTGTAGTTTAAATGTCTCTTTTCTTTCTCCCTTTATTAAACTTCTAAAGGAAAATGTAAGTTATGCTGTGTACTTATACACACTATCTTAAAGTAACTATGTCCTAATATGTTACATGAATAACCCTGAAAAAAAATTTATGATAAAATATTCACGGAGCTGAGATAAAAGATTTCATATTTTTCTAGAACAAACAAAATCATCAAGCTTTTACAACTTGAAAAATGCCATGGAGTCCTAAGTGCGTGCTTTGGCAGTCAACACTGCCACCCGATGGCAAATATTAAAATCTAAAACCAAAGGACAGAAAGAAAATACCTGACCAGATTGCTCAAATTCAAATGTTCACCTCAATATTTAAAATTATGTTTTATCAAGTAAATTCCATAATTTATTAGAGTACTAGTCTACTAAAACATCTGTGCCTGAATGTCCACATATCACTAAACAAGCAAATGAAACATCTGTAATTCAATCATGTAAGAAAAAAAGAAAACAAATAATTTGAGTGCCTACTATACAACAGGCACTATAGAAGATGCTGAGGATATAAAGATGATCAAAACGTAATTATTCTTTACTTCATGGAGTTTACATTCCAGTAGGAAAGATAATCAAAGAATCACACAAACATAAATGTGGTAGATGCTACAAATTTAAAAGATACAGTGCTATGAAAGCATCTAATGGAAGTATCTGACCCGAGAATGTTAAGGGTGTGAAGGAGGAAGTGCAGAAATAAGAAAGGCCTTGAAATATTTAGGGACAAAGAACATGCAAGGAACTGAAATAAATCCAAACAAAGTGTAACTTTAAAGAATCAGAGACACTATAGAAAATATCAAATTACCTGACTTACATATTAAGATACCATCTTTTAATCAATAATCTAAAAGGCTGAAAACATCCAAGTTCAATCCTTACCTGAGAACTATGACTGAACTAGACTGAAAAGGAATACTGAATATTCATAAAGAATAGGAGTAGAAGGACTAAATGACAGAATTGAACAGGATATTCTGGAATAGGAAAGGACCGGGGATGATTTTTCAATGTCCAAGATACAAAACCTGGTAATCTGTTTTTCAACTCCATAGAGTTGGGGGAGGGCATGTCTTGTGGTAATAAACTAAGAATTATACTCCAAAGCCTGCCGGTTTACCTTTTCTACCTGTTGACTACTACCGTCTACTCCACATCGCATAGTTTTTCTGAGCAGACATGAGAGAACTCTTCAATACATTCCTCATCAATTATGGCAACAATCTATACTTTAAAATATTTTCCTTGTATTTTTTCTTTATTTAGAAGATTCTAATCATCTGAACCCCCTTCCTCATTTAGGAAAATCTCTAACAGTGTGAAGTTTGTTCAGAAACAAAATCTATTCCCACACAATTCAGAAGGTAGGGGTAAGACCTAAATTTAGTCAAGTAGATATTACTAAGCAGGCCTTCAAATCTTCATAAGTGATAACAAAGATGTGGGGAGGGTTTAGAACTTCTCTACCCAAGCCTGTAGCATGCAGTATCCACAGTAAGGACACCAGGGGTGGTACCCCAGGATCCAGTGGCAGCGACAGGAATATCCTAATCAAACTTTTCTGTGGCTACATCTTTGCTGGGAACCAAAACACTAGCCTTCTGTTACACCTACCCCTTTCCAACCAAGGTTTTTACAGCCTTCCCATCTCTTTTGTGAGCTACCCAATATCCTTTTGTATTAGAGTACAGGTTAAGACAACCAAAAGTAAGTTGCTTAAATAAGCTAAAAGTTAATTCTTTTCTCGTAAAACACATTCTACAGGCAAATATACAAGTGCTACTAGTTACCACAGTTACTGCCATTTACCAACCATTGTAAAAGATCTCAGTGATGTAAAATTCCCACAGAGCAATTCTACTCATATCCTACTGACCTAACAGTATAATAACCATGCTAGATGCAAAGAAGGCTGAGGAATATGGTATGCAGCTGAAGACCATGTGCTGAGAGCTACAAACTCAGTGAATTCTATCACCAAAAAGAAGGCAAGAACAAATCCTGGGAGGCAGAGGTCCCTGACATACTTCCCAATAACTGCCTTTTCTGCTCAGGGAAACCAGAACTGTTTCTGTTGCTTACAATCAAACCAAAGAATTCCAGTGGTTCTGATTTTTTAAAGTTATATAAGAGAGCAACCTTGAGCCACTCTGATCAGGGAGTTGATTGGGGGCAGGGGCGGGGGAGAACACATAGCTACTTGAAGCTCTGCTTCCTTAAATACAAAATTAGGTATCAGGTCTGAGGCTCAAATAAACCAGACTATACATCATCTGTCTTGAAAGAAGCACAATATCCATTTCACCAAGCACTACCCATAAAATATTCATCAGAGATAAATTAATTACTAAGAAGCAGTAACGGTATACAAATGTTTGGTTTCTATATAATATTTTATAATTTATAAAGCACTTTCACATTATTCTCATTTAAAAAAATATATACATGTGTATGTGTTAATACATATATATATATACTTCATATTATCACTTTGCTTTAAAAGTAAACATACCCAGTATTTGCTCCCCCATTTCCACTTGCTTTTAGACATTTAAGAGTCAAGAAATTTTATGATTTCAGGCCCTCCTGACAAGAATAATAAAATGTGAAATGCCAATAAACAGAGCCAGAAAAACAACAGATAACATTTTCAACCAGATTTATATTACAGAACACCCAGAAAATAAAGTATTTTAAAGATGGAAGAAAAGAACAAAGGACAGAGATGTTCGTAGAACATCTTACATTTTACAATTTTAGATTTTACATTTTACAATATATTTCTCGTTTGCTTTTAAGACTGTTGAGATGAGCTGGGGACTAATAGCAGATGAAGACAAGTTAGAAAAAAACCTTGCATATAAGCTATATTTCTATTTCTCAGGCCTTAGCTTAAATATATTCTTGATGTACTTACTAGTCTCTCCAGAGAAAAGGACATTATTTAAGATTCAAGACGAAATGGAAAGAAAAAAAAAAGATACCTCAAGGCACTTTTTAAGGGAAAGGCCATGAATTATTAAAATAGCCACTCAACAAAATACACGCCTCTATAATTAAAAACACTGAGAAATTTGTATCTGTCATAATCATAATAGGGAATCAAATGCAACTCAATAATCACTGATATTTCATACGGTTGGAGTAACTAATGTTTTAATGAAATAACATGTGGTAAAGATAGGCATAATTTATGGAATAAAATAATTCCTCCAAATAACTACTCAGTAGAGTCAGCAACATTTTTTAATTTGTCTGAGGAAAGTTAAATATAAGGAGCACATTCTCTTTGGTCTTTACTTGGGTCTGATAGGAACTACTGCTACACATGACCATGTAACTTTACATCATGTATTTCTTGAGTCAAAGTTCCCCCATCAACAGGATTAATACACAGGATTCTTAACGTGTAAATATAAGTTGCACAAAGCAAGCTCTCGGTAGGTAAGTACTGGAGGTGGCCAAGGAGTTCGCTGGGATTTTTCTATAACATCGTAAGGGAAAAACCCAAACGAATGCTTTGGCCAGCCCAATGTATAAATAGATTTTATATAGGCCAGCCCTATAGAAAGTAGGACCTATCTCTTCACTTAATTCCACAATGGTAAGATTTATGATTTTATACCCAAATACTTAGAGCTACAACTTGTCAATGTACTCTAAATTTAATCTTTAATAATACAGGTTGATAAAAATTATTTAGAAATTCTTCCCTAATTCTTCTTACTGCTTTTGCCACAAGCAACTGAAAAACTTTTTAAAATATTCTATGTTCTTTTAAAAATAGCCACAAGGGGTCAGTCTTTCCTAAGAAAGAAGTTTAATATAGTCCAGTACCTTCCAAGATAAGCATCTATTTTTGCAATATGCTATTTATGTTACCCATTATAAATCAAATTTCGATGTACCAGGTGTTAATTTTAACAAAGCCACCCATCAAAAAATTAAAGAAGATCAATAATCATACATCTACAATTTAAAGAGTTTCATTTATAACTTTACTCAATTCTCATAATAGCACGTAGACAAAATCTTTACTGATTTTGTGAAAAAAGTGGAAGTCGTTCAGTCATGTCCAACTCTTTACAACCCCATGGACTACAGACCACCAGGCTCCTCTGTCCATGAGATTTCCCAGGCAAGAATACTGAAATGGATAACCATTCCCTTCGCCAAGGGATCTTCCCCACCCAGGGATGGAACCTGGGTCTCCTGCATTGCGGGTAGATTCTTTACCATCTGAATCACCAGGGAAGCCTTATGAAGAAGCAAATTATTAAGAAGCTGACTGTTACTGAAATTCTAAAAATAAATATATGAGATTTGGGTGTGCAAACTACAGCAAATGAGTATAGGTATTATTTGTATTAATATATTAGATATGTGACTATATGTTCCAAAAGCCACTTACCTTGCCAACTATCATTGCAGACACACAACTTTTCTCCTGTTAGGTCACAGTAACCATGATCTGGACTGCCGCAGTTGGCTTTACAGTAGGGGATATCACAAGCTTCACCCTTCCAGTATTTCTCACATTCACAATACACTTGACTTGAAACAGAGACACTAGTTGTACACTTCCCGTGACCAGAGCAATTGTTAGGACAAGAATTGATTCTGTAAAATATAATTCATATATATTCAAATTTAACATGATTGGAAAAATAATCTGGGCTGGTATTTTGTTAACTTTACAAATGTTGTATGTGTCCATGTGCTTCATTTGACACAGTTTTACAACGTGACTTCAATTCTTTACTCTGTACCTTTTTACCCCTAAGGTGATTCAGGTATACATATCTTCAACTGGCCTCAGGTCATTCAATGAGTTTACTCTGCTACCAAGACTACAGCACAATGTTTGGTAAATATTCAAGTACTCAAATGCTTTATAGGGCATGAGTACACTTTATAGGAAAAAAATAAGGTCATGAATACATGAAACAGCAAGAGAAGCCAAGACAAACTCGTTACATGATACTTAAATAGCATGCTATCAACTAAACACTGTGGTGGAAGTTAAAAGGTGTTTATCAGATTTTATTTTAAGCCTCCCTAACTGATTATATTTTACTATATATTTATTCTCCCTGTGTACATGCTTCATATAAATAAATTCTATAATAAATTGCTGATTCAAGGATATTTAGGATGTTTTATTCCTCATGAAAAATCCTCGGTTATCATTTCCTACATTCCTGAAGAAAACAAACAAACAAAAAAATGTATCAAATTCTTCTGTGGTCATTCCTAATGAAAACAACCAAAAGCATCTCTGGCTAACTCACTTCACCCTTGGACTTCTATGAAAATTTGCATAGAGAGTTAGACGTAAGAGACACTCAAAAAATATTACTTTTCTAATTTTAAAGAGACAGTGGTATATAGCCACTTACCTTATCTCCTAAGCCTCAATTTTCTCATGTGTAAAATGGGGAAAATAATCACTTGAAAGAACTGATGTGAAGAGAATTAAAGAATCTTATTGTACATAAAGCATTCAGCACAGTTTCTGCAATAAGACGGACTATGAAAATGTAGCTCTCTTCATTCTTCAGATTAGGTATAAAATATCTTGGAGCACAGAGGGGCAAATGATGGCTCCCTGCAATCCTGAACATTTGTGACTTAAAGTTACACTAAGTATGTATTTCTTTACTTAATCATTTCCCAACGATTTTTAATTTTGTAATTAATTTTCAGCCAAACCTAACTTGTTACCATGGTGCCCTGAGGCTTACAAATTATCCTAATACAAGCTTACAGTATTTGGGGGGATCATATTATTAAAAATCTTATGTAACTTAGGAAGAGATGCTGTATACTTTGGAATTTAACACCCTAGCCGACTCCTGGTACATAAGACATTTATACAAACAAACAATAAACTCTTTTATGTCAAATTATAACAATCATTATTACAATATCAATTAAAAAAAAATACTTACGAGTAAAAAATGTTGAAACCAGTTAGATTATACGCGGCATCACTAAAAAAATGTAACAGTGCATAGCCAGATGTTGTAACGACTTCAGGCACAGTTTCATTTCCCCGTATTTCAGGAACTATCAAACCACTGAAAGACAGCAAAGTTGAACACTGTGTATATTAATGTACATAGGACTATTAATCACACAAGACTCCTTCAAAATATCCCTGTCACAATCATTAACTATCTATTATGTATTACAATGGGCAGCGAGAAGAATAAATCTAAAATGAGTTCCTAGTCATTTCTCAGCAGTGAGCTCTGCTGCTGCTGCTGACAGACTACCATCTACTCTCAGGCCACCATACTCCTTTCTCTCTTCTCAACACCAGACTGTAATGTCCCATTTCTCCCCTTTGCCCTCTTGTCCATCCTCTCATAAGACCATAGGGTGCTCTTTTACTTAAGTTATAAGCAAACCTTCATTTAAAGACACCTTGGGAAAGAACTGTTGTAGCTTAGCTGCTAAGTCATGTCTGACTCTTTGGAACCCATAGACTGTAGCCCGCCAGGCCCCCTGTCCATGGGATTTCCCAGGCAAGAATACTAGAGCAGGTTGCCATTTCCTTCTCCAGGGGATCTTTTCGATCCAGATATCAATCTGCATCTACTGCACTGAAAGGCAGATTCTTCACCACTGAGCCACCTGGGAAGAACTAATATGGTTAAAATGTCCATACTACCCAAAGCAATACTACTTTTATTTTCTTGGGCTCCAAAATCACTGCAGATGGTGACTGCAGCCGTGAAGTTAAAAGACACTTGCTCCTTGGAAGAAAAGCTATGACAAACCTAGATAGCATAGTAAAAAGCAGAGACATTACTTTGCCAACAAAGGTCAGTCTAGTCAAACTATGGTTTTTTCAGTAGTCACGTATGGATGTGAAAGTTGGACCATAAAGAAAACTGAGCACTGAAGAATTGATGCTTTTGAGCTGTGGTGTTGGAGAAGACTCTTGAGAGTCCCTTGGACGGCAAGGAGATCCAACCAGTCCATCCTGAAGGAGATCAGTCTTGAATATCCATTGGAAGGACTGATGTTGAAGCTGAAACTCCAATACTTTGGCCACCTGATTCAAAGAACTGACTCATTGAAAAAGACCCTGATGCTGGAAGATTGAAGGCAGGAGGAGAAGGGGACGACACAGAATGAGATGGTTGGATGGCATCACCGACTCAATGGACAAGAGTTTGAGCAAGCTCCAGGAGTTGGTGATGGACAGGGAAGTCTGGCATCCTGCAGTCCATGGGGTCACAAAGAGTCGGACATGACTGAGCGACTGAACTGAACTGTATCCTTTTCTCCATCTAGAATGTCCTATCTAATCCCCACACTTTGTCTTCACTCTTCTACTGACAATGAAAGACAACATGAAGAATGGCTACTTCTGAAATCATACAGCACTCTTTTTATAATCTGATTACAACACTTGTTATGTTTAAAAAGTCTGTTTACAGGGCACGACGACTGTGTGGTGATGTAGCCTCCAAAACCCTGGCATTTCCCAACTGACAAGAATGTCTCTGTTATTCCCTGTGGGCTCACAGTTATGCTAGAGGTGACTCAGGATGGGATCTGCCCACACCAGAAAGACCAACCATGTGACTGATTAATGTGTCAGAGCTTTAAGCCACAAGAAATCCACCTGACTTCCAGAGTCACAATGGGGCTAGAGACTGAGTTTGACCATGTGGCCAATGATTTAATCAATCATATGAAACGCAATTCCCAATTAACTCTGTACACCTATAACTCAGGAGAGCATCCTGATACATACTGATACATTGGGAGGATAACATCTGTCCTAAGGACACAGAGAGTTTCCCTGGCAGCTCAGCTGGTAAAGAATACGCCTGCAATGCAGGAGACCCTGGTTAGATTCCTGGGTCGGAAAGTTCCCCTGAAGAAGGTACAGGCTACCTAACTCCAGTATTCTTGGGCTTTACCTGGTCGTTCAGATAGTAAAGAATCTGTCTGCAATGTAGGAGACCTGGGTTCGATCCCTGAGTTGGGAAGAGCCCCCGGAGGAGGAAATGGCAACCCAGTCCAGTGATCTTGCCTGGAGAATCCCATGGACAGAGAAGCCTGGTGGGCTACAACCCATGGGGTCGGAAAGAGTCGGACACAACTGAGTAAGGACGCAGAAACTTTGTCTGTGATGCTCCCAGATCTCACCCTATGTGTCTCATCATCTGACTGGTCCTGGTTTTTATAATTTGGAAAAAAACTATAATCATAAGTACAGTGCTTTCCTGAGTTCTGTGAGTTATCTAGTTAATGACTGAACCTGAGAGGGTTATGGCACCTCTCAACGTGTAACCAGCTGGTCCAGAAATGCTGGTGGCCTGGGCACCCCTGAACTTGCAGCTGAAGTCTGAAGTGAGGGCAGTTTGGGGAGGGCTGTGCACTTAACCTATGAAGTCAGACCCAGCTTCAGGTAGCTGGTGTCTGCAGTGGCCTATACCTTACTGCATTCTCCAGGCTTACGGTAGTCTCTGGAACTGGGTAGGTTATTAAACATTTGTTGAACAATAAATACTCATACAACTGGAATAATTCAAACGTTTAGATTCTGAATTCTTACTAAAGTGAAGTACAAACAGTATAGGCTTTAAGTCAGGAGACTAGCAAGTCCTAATCCTGGCTCTACCGTCTATTAGAAGTAAGACTTGATTTCTCTGGGGCTCAATTCTCTCAACAATAAACGGGGGCTAACAGCACTTCTACAGTGTCCTTATGAGGACGGGATAACATTTAAACTGTCTGGTACAGTGCTGAGAATCAAGTGGATATTTAATAAACATGAACTTTCTATCTCCCTCAGGATAGCTAATAGCACTTGCTAATGAAAACTCACTGGTTCCACCTTCACGGTCACACTAAATCCCATCCTGCTAATTATCTAAGAATAGTTTCCTTTAGTATCAAAGAAATGGTTGGTAAGAGCGTTAATGAATCACTGTTAATTAACAGAAAGTCATCACAACTACTAGAAACACAAATAAAAAGGCACACATCTAAATGATAGCAAATGTAGACAAAGATAGAGGAATGAAAACAGTTTTATCTAAATTGCTAAAAATAAATGTATGAACCTAGGATCTTATCTGTTGCAAAAAAATACATCTTACAGTGTAATTATTCACAAAGCTCTGCTCCCTTTTCTATCTACTGCTCTTAGATTAAGGGTTACTCAAGAATACCCTTTAAATAACTTTCAAATAACTCAAAAATTAAGCTCTAAAAGTGTCTTGAGCAACAGCAATGTCACGGAGTAAGTGTCTAAGGTCTGAAAGAGTCACTTTAAAACAGTCATTCCAAAATACAATTTCTTACTTGTTTGTCCAAAAAATAATAATAATTTGCATTCCTGTTAAAACAGAATAACTACAACATAAATAGTAATACTTTTCTACAACTGACTATAAGTTCACCAATTAAACAAAACTACTCACCTAAGTACAGCTATTAAAGGTGCATATATTGAATCTCCATCATAAACATACATATGATCCCAGCTACATTCTGTAGCAAAATGATTGAATCTTAATCTTAACACTGCATTTGGACTGAAAAAAATTAAAATATTTTAAAATTAATATGTAATATGTAAAGCATGATCTGAAGAAATCTTAAAATATTTTATTAAAAATCTATTTACAGAAATTTAGCTATAAATCCCTAAGTCATCAGTATAAAAGATTGATAAGCAGTCATATACAATTTGTAAAAAAGACATTAAACTTCAAAATCTATTAACCAGCCACAGGCATGCATCATCCTTTTCTAAAAATTTAATCAACAGGAAATGTACTGTCTTAATTAAGGTAGAGATACATAAACTGTAAACTTCATTGAAACTTTATTTACCTGTACACTTAATACAGATGTATTTCATTATATGCAAATTGTACTTAAAGTTGATTCTTAAATTCAGCACTCAAGACTATTCTTATTTCTATCAACCTTTAACTACAGGTACTAATAAGGTCTTCAAATTTAATCAAAACATCTCAGTATGATACACTGCCATTTGTTAACAAATAAAGGAGACCATAGGTACAAAGGTAATTAATAACTCTAAAGTTTTAAAAAATCTTTTAAAGTAACAACAACAAAAAAAAATACCCGGTTTTCCAGACTCTTTAAAAATCATAAAACAGTTCAAAAACAACTAATATCAATTCATCTATGATTCATTCATGTTTTTAAATAGATAAATTCAGTCACAACCCTAATTACTGAAAAATGCCTCTAAAAGGACAATTAACTCTTTCAGAAAATGTTCTTTTTTTAACACCTTTAGAACTAAAATGATGAACACTATGAACAAATGGCATAATTCAGCATGGAATATTTTTATACTTTCTATGGAGTCTTCAAATTCTATAACAAGCTATTTAAAATAAGCCAAAAATGCATACTTTATTTAATGTCATAGTGACAGAACTTAAAAATAAAATATAAGCAAAAATTAAACTACTGTCACAAGGGTATTGTAATTTATATTAAATATGATATCTAAAATTTATAAATCCCATTTTAAAATATAATGAATAATATTTTCCAACAATAAGCAACAGAATATGTAACTTTGAAGCTGTTATACCTTTATAATGTTTTATACTGGTAAGCATTTATCACTGCAGAATAAATTAATTTAACCCAAACTGTATACTTACTAGCCTTCAATTAGCCATGTACATTTAGTTTTATATTTATAGTTAATTGGACCATCTGTTAAATATCCAGAAGGTTCTGTTAACCTAGAAAACAAAATTACAAAAATGATTACCTATAATAGCATAAAACATTTAAAGACACTAATCCAAGCTTCCAAAAAGGAGAATTTGTTTTACAACTTAAGAAAATTTTCATATTGCCATTTATCTCTCTAAATCTCAAAAAAACTTGTTTTTTAATTTCTTTAAGTTTTTATATGACTGTTTCATTTTACAAACTGGAGAAACACATTGAAAGACTGAACATTATACAGATGGGTTCCATGCTGATGCAAAATGAATTCAGTAACACTTCCTCTGCACAAAAATTAGATGGAGGCAAAAAAAAAGATAAAATGCGCTTTGAAAGATGCAGATCTACGGAGCAGAGAAATAGTATATATACCTAGTACTCTGGGGGGAGTTTACACTGTTAGCTCTGTTTGTTTTTCATGCAGCAGGATTGCAAAGTAGCTATCACCAGACTTTACTGAATTCTGCTACCTGTTTTTATTATCATTTTCTTTTGCCTACTTTATACCTAGTCCAAGAACTCAATTTTTAAAATAGGGTAAATCAAGGGTTTTTTTAATTATCCTCTATTTTAAACACAAAAAAGAAAAAGATAATTAGAAAAGCTTCAGATTTTCAGACTTTTAAAATATTTAAAGAATAACCCAATTCTACTTCATGTTGCTCTCCTAAGCTCCAGCCCACTTATTTTATCAAGAAAAGACAATGTTTTAAATAAAGATATCTTTCCATTTAGCCTTTATATATTTATATAGGCATATAGATACACAGGGGTTCCCACGTGGCACTAGTGGTAAAGAACCCGCCTGCCAGTGCAAGAGACTTATAAGAGACGCAGGTTTGATTCCTGGGTAGGGAAGATCCCCTGGAGGAAGGCATGGCAACCCACTCTAGTATTCCTGCCTTGAGAATCCCATGGACAGAGGAGCCTGGCGGGCTACAGTCCACAGGGTGGCAAAGAGTTGGACACGACTAAATCAAATTAGCTCGCACACACACACACAGAAACACACCCTGGGGCTCATCAGTCTTTATACATTCACATATAGATACACACACACAGACATATATATATACACATGTACACAAAGTTATCAGGGTCATTATCTAGTTCAAGACAATATTAAATTCTCCTTATAGCAGTGAGTATTAAAAACATTAGGGGGGAAAAAGCTTCATTTACCTAAACCAGCATTGACATAAAGGTCAATAAATGTAAATGTTACTTATAAATCTGTCATAATCCCTGCAAATTACTTTGGGCAAAAAAAGGGGCTAATTCATGCTTGGAAAACTCCAGTGTTCTCAAATTAATCTAACACTAAATTTCCTATGTATCAAGTGTTACTGTAAGCTCACAATGTTACCTCACTTAAAAATCTCAAAAACACCAAGAAATCGTAAACATTATTAATCCCATACTACCGATAAGAAAACTGAAGTACATTTTTAACAGGTTAAATAACTTGTCACTTCCAATAATAGCTCCAAATGAAGTAATTCAAACTTCCACTGAAGATAACTTAAAAAGATAAAAGAACAATTTTTAAATCTTATAAGTAACAGAATGGTAAGATCTACTAAGCCAAGATCCAGAAGTTGCAAATTCTTTAAGAACTGGGCATGCAGAGTGACTTTTGTTATGGAGAATTTCATCTATTTATTAGAGACTGCCAAAAGGCAGAGAGTGCTTTTAGTATACTCAAGGAGAGAGGAGGACAAACGTTGGAGGCAATAACCTACAAAAGTAGGGGCTCAAATAAACAACATGGCACTCTGATCTAGGACATGATGATTTGCTAGTAGGGTGAAGATGTACCAGAAACGAAATCTGCATGGACTGTAACCCAACTACAAGTCATCAGGATGGCAGAAAACTCCAAGACCTACCACTGGCTTAAGGTGAGACTAGAACTACTATTTGGAGAAGGAAATAGCAACCCATTCCAGTATTCTTACCTGGAAAACCCTGTGGACAGAGGAGCCTGGTGGGCTATAGGCCATTGAGTATCAGGCCAAGTCTCCTAACAGAAGATACAAAAACGTTCTCTATAAAAAGATAACATTATCCCAGCCCTCAACTTATTTCTAGCAGTAATTTTTCAAATAAGATGTCTACTATAATCAAAGATAATCAGGTATATGAAGACAGAAGACAACAAAATAACAACCAACAGAAAAGCTTCAGAAAGAGATCTGAAGAATGCCTAATATGTGGAGAATATCAAATGTGCCCTACATAATAAACATGATTTACTAAGTTCAAAAAGACAACAGACAAGAGTTAAAATTTTGGCAGTTAATTGAAGCCATAAAAAGTAACAGTATGCTTGAAAAATAATGGAAATGCTAATTATGAAAACTATATTAATCAAAATTAAGAATTTGATGGACAGTTTTAACAACACATTGTTGTTGTTGTCACTGTTACTGTTGTTGTTCAGTCGTCCAGTCATGTCTGACTCTTTGTGACCCCATGGACTGTAGCACTCCAGGCCTTCCTGTCCCTCACCATCTCCCGGAGTTGGCCCAAGTTCATGTTCATTGCATTAAACATATTAAACACAGCTAAAATAGGATGAGCAATCCAGAAGACAGGTCCATAAGAAAATATCCAGACTACAGCAGGATGACTGAGGGTTCAACCCATTAAGTGTGGATCACTCCACCAAGTAAAACTCCGAGGAGATAAGATCCTAGTTAAGGGCAGGAGAAATATGGAATGGGGACAGGAAGAACAAAATCACAGACATCAATTATGGTCTTTTAACACATTAAATAACACATTAAACCCAGATAACCATGAGGGTGTGATCACTCACCTAAAGCCAGACATCCTGGAATGCAAAGTCAAGTGGGCCTTAGGAAGCATCACTACAGACAAAGCTAGTGGAGGTGATAGAATTCCAGTTGAGCTATTTCAAATCCTAAAAGATGATGCTGTGAAAGTGCTGCACTCATATTCCAGCATATTTGGAAAACTCAGCAGTGGTCACAGGACTAGAAAAGGTCAATTTTCATTCCAACTCCAAAGAAAGGCAATGCCAAAGAATGCTCAAACTATTGCACAATGGCACTCATTTCACACACTAGCAAAGTACTGCTCAAAATTCTCCAAGCCAGGCTTCAACAGTACATGAATCGTGAACTTCCAGATGTTCAAGCTGGATTTTAAAAATGCAGAGGAACCAGAAATCAAATTGCAAACATCTGTTGGATCACAGAAAAAGCAAGAGAGTTCCAGAAAAACATCTACTTCTGCTTTATTGACTATGCCAAAGTCTCTGACTATGTGGATCACAACAAACTGTGGAAAATTCTTGAAGAGATGGGAATATCAGACCACCTGACCTGTGTCTTGAGAAATCTCTATGCAGGTAAAGAAGCAACAGTTAGAACTAGACATGGAACAACAGACTGGTTCCAAATTGGGAAAGGAGTACATTAAGGCTGTACATTGTCACCCTGCTTATTTAACTTATATGCAGAGTACATCATGAGAAACGCTGGACTGGATGAAGCACAAGCTGGAATCAAGATTGCTGGGAGAAATATTAATAACCTCAGATATGCACATGATACCACCCTTACGGCAGAAAGTGAAGAAGAACTAAACAGCTTCTTGATGAAAGTAAAAGAGGAGAATGAAAAAGTTGGCTTAAAACTCAACATTCGGAAAACTAAGATCATGGCATCTGGTCCCATCACCTCATGGCAAATAGATGGGGAAATAATGGAAACACTGACAGACTTTATTTGGGGGGGGCTCCAAAATCACTGCACATGGTGAAAGCAGCCATGAAATTAAAAGGCACTTGCTTCTTGGAAGAAAAGCTACGACCAACCTAGACAGCATATTAAAAAGCAGAGACATTACTTTGCCAACAAAGGTCCGTCTAGTCAAAGCTATGGTTTTTCCAGTAGTCATGTATGGATGTGAGAGTTGGACCATAAAGAAAGCTGAGTGCCGAAGAACTGATGCTTTTGAACTGTGGTGTTGGAGAAGACTCTTGAGAGTCCCTTGGGCTGCAAAGAGATGGAACCATCCTAAAGGTTCGATCCTAAAGGTTTCCATCCTAAAGGAAATCAGTCCTGAATATTCATTGGAAGGACTGATGCTGAAGCTGAAACTCCCTCCAATACTTTGGCCACCTGATGAGAAGAACTGACTCACTGAAACAGACCCTGATGCTAGGAAAGACTGAAGGCAGGAGGAGAAAGGGATGACAGATGATGAGATGGTTGGATGGTATCACTGACTCTATGGACATAAGTTTGAGCAATCTCCAAGACTTGGTGATGAACAGGGAAGCCTGGCGTGCTGCAGTTCATGGGGTCACAAAGAGTCAGACATGACTGACTGAACTGAACTGAACACATTAAATAAGTATCCTAACAGCTTTGAATAGTGTCTATTTGATACACACACACCCACATCTTCTCTCTTCTCCACATTTTTATTTACAAGTTGTTGGAAGTTAACTTTACAATTTAGACTTTAGTTAATGTATGCCTATGTCTGAATATGAAGAGCAAGTAATACAACCAGTGATAGATACAATGACTCTGGAAACTGTTTCCTTGTTTTGGACAAAAGATGAGAACTTCTTCACTTAGAAAAAGTATATATTCTTAGGTAGAAACACAGCTTTGCTGGTTGTGGGGAGTTCATATGTGTTTAGAAGGATGCATACAGAAGCTGACTAAGGCAGACTGTATCAGTTATCCATTGACTCCTACGTCAAAATTTTGCCTACTCTGTGAAAATGGATCTAGGCCCTTTGAACAATTTTTTTTTCCCAGATGGCAGGATACTAAGCCTGCAGGCTTTCTCAACAGAGCACACTGGAGACTGCAGGAGGAAAGAGATCTGCCTCCTTGGTTCCAATGTACTCACTCAACAAGCTTCTGCACCTTGCTGGCTTCTGCAGCACTAGACTCCTACAGTGCCTGATGGCCACCAGCACCCAGCCACCAAGAGCCGCCCCCAGCACTTCCCCTCAGGCAGTTCT